CCAGCGCACACACAGACACACAGACACACACACACACACAAACACACACACAGACACACACACACACACAGACAAACTCTCGTCAATATGCGTTTTTCGCATTGCATTGCTGCAAAAAACGCATAAAAATGAGGTAAATAGGTTTTTGCCACTTCTGTGCTCTGAACGGGACCCCTTTTGCAACCGATATAGGCCGTGAGGAAACCAAACCTCTCTTCTTTACTGTCCCGGATTCTTTGAATGGGGACGTTTTACACATTACATTACTAGCCCTTTTACTCCAAATCTAGCAACGATAATATATAAATTTAAGCACATGCAATCCACTTGCATTCAACAAGACTGCCTGGCGTAGCTTATTCGAGTAGCACCTCATAATTTCCATAACAGACAGGACAAAGAAAACTTTTATAAACAGCATCATTAACCTGTTTTGAACAGAGACAAAAAAGCGGACATTCAAAAATGAAAGTTTGGAAAAATGGGAATAGTTATGAAGTTAGTATACACTTAATTTCTTAGTCTACACAGAATTTTCAAATTTTGGCCTTCCATACATCGCAAAAATCGTCTGTAAAAACCCTTGTTCCATCACTGTTTCTACTGATACTTTAACTTGAAAAAATGGTACTTGAATTACAGCTCCACTTGTGGATCAGATGTTCACCAATGGTTGCATATTTAACCGGCTCCCCAGTCGCAGAATTCTTCAACACTTCATACACACAGTCCGGCACAACCTCGCTGTTGGAAAGTTTCGTTGGTGACAAACCGCTAATAATAAAAATCATAAATATGAGAGCCGAATAATGAAGTAAAAACTGATAAAATCGGTGAGATAGAGCTGAGAGCACAAGGCTCATAATTAAATGATTTTTTGGCTTGTCTTTAACTGTGCGACAGAAACAAGGAGCTTGCTCATCTGGTAGTACATTCCGGAACAACGGAAAATACCCGTCCTCGCCTTCAGTAATGAAGGCCATCGTAAGCTGGAACTTTGGGGTGAGATGCAGAATACAGAATAAGCTTATTTCGATTAGCAGAGTGCAAATTTCAATCGAAGTATTTGGTTTGGGGCGATAAATCGAATCGAAAAGTCTCAGTTATGAAAATTTGAGTACAACAAAAATACGAGCTATTGAAATTTTGAACCATCAGCTATGCGGTGATGTATCTAGAAAATATGCTTCGCTTTCATGTCAAGGGAATCGGATGCCAGAAATGCATGAAATCGAGATGCAGCAAACTTAACCGAAGGGATCTGAAATCGGAATATCTTTTGCTAAAGTGGAAGCACTGCTTCAAAGCTAAATAAATAAGAGCAAAATGAAATTTGGAAGAGGACAGTTTTGGTCAGTTAACCGATCAGACCTGAAAGTTTGTGAAGCTGTATGTGCTACTGCTAGGGTTATCTGGATTCATGCACGTGCAGGAAGAAAGTCGGGGATAATAAGCCCCTTTTGCTTGACTCAAAAAGGTTATCATTGTTACCTGACTTCCATATCCTGCACAACATTTTCGTAATTTCCGCGATAGAAGCAATTGACGCTATATGCCTTATCGGCTTCTGTGAGAAACAGGTAATGATGTTGAACAATGATCACCACATGATAATTG